ATTTGAATATTTTTCTTTGTTGACTTGTGAGTATTGTTCGTGGTCTCTTTGGTCCTTTTTTATCGTCATTTTCATCATCACCAATTACTGATGAATCGTCAGAGTCTGAATTGTCCGCTTTCTCCAATTTTGTCTCTTTATCATTCTTGAAACTGTTATTAATTACATCTGCGGAGCAGATAGACAGACAAATTATGGGTTAGTATTGGGTGCACATGCTTATGTTCATCTTGATAAGATGCAATTGAGATGGGTTGCAAATAAATGAATCGCAATCGAGAACAGCCAAGAGTGTCACAACCATCTACATTCGTAAGGTACTCAGTAAGTTACTAAGCAACATCAAAACTTAAGGATTTAAATAAACTAAAGTGGAATAAACATCCAGTTTACTTACTCTCTTGTTGAGGCTTATGTGGCGGACTATTTGATGACCCTTTTGTTGGAAGTTTTCCATAGTCATCCTTGCAGTATAATTTGTTATCTTTTAACGCAAATTCCTGCCCTTTTTCAAGACGATGACCACACATGGTGCACATAAAACATTGTATGTGATACACATTTCCTAATGCTCGCATCACAAACTCGTTTGCTGGGATGGTCGTCTTGCAGCCACTACATTTTGTACCGTACATCCTGGAGAAGAAATTGAGAAAATTATGACAAGTTGGTCTCCATTTCAGAAGGGAGTCGATTTTCCTTAGTTTTACTTGTAATTTGCCAATTTACTGTTATACAACCATCACTTCATATCCGTTTTCTCTTAACACCACTTTTCAAACGGCTTTCAATCGTAATTTGTCAGTCATGTATCCAACAGTCTGCACAGTTCAACATATGGTGGACATGCTTTGCCATTTTGCGTTATAACACTTTGAAAATCTCTTATAACAGAAGTAAGCAATCCAAAAAATTAATCATATTTTAAAAATGTTTTCAGTGAGAAATTCGCTCTTGAAAAAGTTTTTTTTTCTCGTCTCTTTAGAAATCTAATACGAAGCACAAGCTAAATCACTAAAAGGCTCAAAACTTTATATTTCTAACAATACACCGATATATGGTCCAAAATTTGATTGTTTTCTTACAAAAAAACTGTCATCTCGCCTTCATAAATTTTCGAATGGTCTTCTTTTTTGCTCGTTTTGATGAAATACTGCAAGACATCAAACTTTCCTTTGGTTTCTTTCGACAGTTCAAGAAACCTTAAGGTTTTATCATTATCATTATTATTGCTTTTTGATCGTCTGCTGTTATCTAGGGTGTTTTAATTTACTTGTAAAACTATAACACAAAAATGGACGTTGGGAAATGGGGTCGATGGAATCTGGCTGTCAAATAGCACAAAGAGTGCAAGCGCAGTCAATGTCTTAAACAAAACACACCCATGTCAAAACTTGCCATCTTTCCTATTCTATTTACAAAACACACCCTGTTTCAAAGAGCCAATGAGGTAACGAAATCCTATAATTGGCTGGTCTTGTAATTAGTTATAACAGTGAGGTAATAACAACTAGAAAATTTGGAATAATAACAATTATTTACAACCTTGTTGTCAGTTTTCGCCCAGCACTTGGAGTCTGACGTTAGAGCTCATCTCCATGGAGTAGTGAATTATCCACAATAATTTTTGTCACGATTTTACTTAATTTATAGCAAGATTCCCACCTAAATAATTATACCAAGTTTTTTCTTGTTTTGTTTGTAACAGTATTGTTCAGTTAAAGCTTTACTATTTCATTCATTTAAAAATATAGCGCAACGTTTGAAAAGAAATTTTCAAATAAGATCTTGAGCAGGCACTTTTCCTGAGAGGATTTTCAAAAATTTCTAGGGAGATAAAATGTCTCATTCACTATAACGTTCTTAAGTTTTCATAAGAAGATGCCCTGGAGATTTTGTTGAATTAGCGATCCGTTGAGTGCAAACAGAACGGCTCCACTGAACATTTCAGTTACGCGAAGAAACAAAAAAACTGTTAAAAGCCACGTTTTGCTGAACTTGTATAATGAGCAATATTTATGCGACTTTCAGCTGGTTAAACAAGCTCTTAAGCTATCATATCGAGTACCATCTTCTCCTATTTGCGTTTGAATATCTCATTTCCCTTCTGTTTACCAACCTGCTGTTTATAACAAACAAGAGGTGTTATTCGAGAGAGAAAATTCACAATGCTAACTTAGTTGTGTTAGTTATGAGTTTATCTGCGAATCTAACGCTCTTATGGTATTTGCTTACTGCGTCCAAAACAAACATTTTTTAGTTTTATTCCACTGTCTTAACACGCAACCGCATGGAAAATAGCAAGTACCAAATACTTTAGTAAACATGAAACGCATATCACTTTTCCGGCCTTTTGTTTTAAGTCAACGTATTGACTTGTGAATAAACCTTTATAAATTAATGTTTTTCCACCGTCAGTTTATCGATGCTGATATTATCATATGAACCTTGTTTCCTGTTAAATATGCTCGCCAAACCTCCAAAGGTAAATTTGAAAAAGCCTTCTGAGCAAACCGATAAAAATTTGTTAAAAGATAAAAATTAAAACTTTGCTAACTAAATTAATTGCAAGTGTTCGATTTCAAAATTAAACGTTGTGTTTTGGTTCATGAATAAAAACAAAAGAACTTTCTTTAAAAAAAAAATCAGCCTGTTTCTCTTCTTTTAATTCAATACAAAAATACAGCACTCCAGATAAATTTGAGAAAATTATGTTAGAGACCCATTGTCATGTTAAGTTAGACCGCATTTAATTACTCGGTTCAATGAGGTGTTGCTAAATGGCCAATTTTGGAAGGGTAAGAACGCAAAAAAGACCTGGAAAATGGAAAAAAAAAATCTTGAAGCGTGTTAAGTCCTTAATTTAATAATATCGCAAGTTGTTTATGACCATTGTAGATGAACGCTCGCTTTTCTTAAAAAAGTGCTTGCTCAAAAAACGATTTGGATCCCTCGTTCGTATAAGACCAATTCAGTAAAAGCCTGTAGAGTACATACAACGTCAGTTTAACCCGAAAGCTTGTTGGAAGATAAATTGGTTAAGATGGAATTCAGTGCAAAGTTAACAAGACAGTTTTTGTTGTGGTGCAGTCAAAACTCATAACGCTTTTGAAAGGTATATTGCATAGTCTTAGTCAAAATAAGCGACAGGTCAACTGCACAATCCAGCGCTAAAGTCGGCGGCATAGAAAGTAATCATATCTACTTATTCTCAGTAAGCAATAGGCAACCTGAGGGGTTTATGTTATGCAATTTAGGTAGCCTTGCACTGTTGAAATGTCTGACATTGACTGTAACAGGTTGTGCAATTATTCGCGGAAAGATACCACCTCCAAACTAATTAAAAAACCTTATGCTGGTAAAATATACAAGCTCGTGATACGTATCCATTGTTAGAGATCACTGTGCTTTAGAAAGTGAGAGCTGGTGCATTTTAGGAGCTAGAGTTGAAACTGGATATTGAATTTTTCAGGCTTTTAAATCTTCTTGTCAGACATTGTTCTAACTGAGCAGGACTCTCTTTTCTATTCATAAACTAAACACATGAAAGCTGTTGATAAAGATAACTCACTTAAATGTGCAAGGATACCTCGATGCTTGAAACACACATCGGAGCTGTTATTGGTGGAATACCGAATTAGCAATATAACAACTGTAAAAACACACAACACCGCAACATTTTCAAAGTGAAAACAGGCTTTGAAAAGACGGACTGAAAAGCAGAGACTCGCATTAAAGGTTGCTATCAGAGCAATAATACACAAGGTCAAATTCTTGTTTTTGTCGTGGCAGTTATTGTTCCCATATGTTGATATCTAAGCTGTTTTTGTAGAGGCAACCTTGGTGGTGAAAATCGCTCTCATTTAACCCCCATACAATTTCGTAGATAAGGATTGTTTTCAGAACAAGCTATTCAAGGACTTTCAGATGTTTACACTAAGGAAGGATTCGATTTCAAAAACATAGAAATATTTTGGCGGGTTGTCGATGTACTCTAACATGTTATCAATCCTCTATACATTCCAATTAAAATCGTATCAGCGTTTAAGACAAAACACCCCGTTCAAGACAAAACAAACCCAGCTCCAATTTCGTTGGATATCAAACGAGTCTGAGAGGGCCAAGTGCGTTTAACTTCGACTTTCTGGTTACAGGGCAAGGTGTGTTTTATCTCCAGATCCGAACATTTAAACATAAGCATCCTAGCGCCTCAATTGTCCTTTAAGGACAACTCCAACTGCAGTTTTACAAAAACTTCATAGAATTTCATCCAAATCGCTCTGAGATTGCAGGTTCTCGAAGATCAAATCCCGCCTCCTCAAAGTGCAATCTTGCATAAAGCAACCCGAAAACGTTCCGCTTCTCACACTGAATGAATTCCACAACTACTTAATCTTCGTTAAGTCTTCATCTGAACGCTATCTTTAGTGTATTCTTACTTGTATTACAAAACTAAGACCTATCTTTAGCGAAACTATATCAAGAGATAACCTTCTCCTATCACAAGGTCGTTGCGCCTGAAAGCCGCCAAATCAGGGAATTTAGACTTGCATCTCTTTGCGATAACCTGCAAAAGTCTTCCAGTCTTAAATTTCCTTGTCACTTCATGTTCGTAGCTCTGTATCTGTAGCCGGATGTTCTTTTAAAGATAAACTTCTAAGAAGAATGAAATGTTTCAAAGATATCTTGCTTTAAAGATACAGTTTAGGCGCATTTCATAAAAACAAGTTGGTCTTCAGTCGTAAAACATATGTACAAGAAAACTCAGCTAACAGTTTAATAGGAAGATTAGTCTAGTGGATTTAAACAGAAAATATTAAAACCTTACTCGACATGAATTTGTTGTGTTTGTTAGGCATCGATGCATTTACCCGCTGAGAAACGATTATCTCCGAATGATGTTTCAGACCAACAATCTCTTTGTCTGCTAAAAGTTTCCTCTTGAAATCTAGTTGACTGAACAGATGGATTATTCTCGTTGTATTTTTGAACTACGAAAGAAACATGTTCAGTCATCCAATTTGGATCGAGTTTATTGCAGCTACACGATCAGGAGTGTGTTACACCAATTAAAAATAAAGTGTTCTTGTCTTATTGTTGACCGAACTTAGAATACTATTTCTCTTTCTCTAACCTACCAAGAAACCGAAACACGAAACCGTGAAGTGATTCACGGGCTATTAATAGTGCTACTCGAGTAACAGAAAAAATATGTCGTTATTTGACATAAGAAAGAAGAGGCGACGACTGCTTTTGTAAGCTATATATTATAAAGCATGGTCGAGACTTCTCTTTTGAAGATCAAACAACATACACCGTATTTATAGAAATAAAAACTTGCGACAAAGAGATGCGTCAACGACCGACAACTGTCAAATTCAAGCACTTTAAGCTGACTAAATCGAACAGATTTCTCGCTTAAGTCGATTAGCGGTTTGTTTTTTACAGAGAACTTTTAAGCTTGGCTCAAAATAACCTGAAGTTGTTTTCATTGATTCTAAAACTGAACAAATTTTTCTTGAGTGGCAGTTTCGAATGGTTCTTTAATGCTTGCACAAACCTTAGTACAAAATCAGACAGAGGAAAGAAAATACATTTTTTTGTTATGTACTTGCTCAAGGCGAAACATTTACAGTAAATAGAATAAAGAAATTCATTTAATTTCAGATAAAAATGACAAAAGAATCCCATTTATAAGCTAGTGGGTGTATTTGCAAAGGCTGTGTGGGGCCTAATGAATAATTCAAGTTTCCTTTGATCAGATTTTGTTGTGTCCGTAAAGCTGAATTTCAAGCTCTTTTCGACCAGTTTAAAAGGAGGGTGAAATACAGGCTGTTTCATTCGTAAGTGTAATCTTGTTGAGTCGATTGAGCCTTACAAACAGCAGAACTTTTATAGACAATTTTGAAAACCGTATCATTAAGATTTTCAACTGCGCTTCAAAGGAATCGCCGACCTAATTTCATGATACTTCTCAAACCCGTCCTGCTTTACGATCAAGCAAGTGAACACATGCGCTCATGTTTACGCTAGCTTGTTGCCTTTAATTACACTGTTGTTTTTTCGCTTCCATATTTCCGGAAGGTTCATCACCTACTTCAACGACAAAAAGTGAAGAAAGGTTGGCAAGGCATGATAACTTCAATACAACCGGTTATGTTTTCATTTGCACATAATTTATGACCGCTTTTGATGTTGAATACTCCCAAGTCAAACGAGACAAGTGCTTGATAACCAGTTGGATTTATGTTCCACACGCGGAAATTCATGTGTAGGTTAATCAAGTCTTCCAAGTTGAAAATAGAATGTATGGCTGTGTTCAAATAAAATTAAAAATCAAACGCTTTTAGTTTTTGGCGTAGGTAAATCAGTGGACAAGCCAGCACATTCTAAACAAATATTCCATGAGTCGGCTCCGTTTTAACTTTAATATAACCACGGCAACACGAGTTAATTTTGAAACACGCATTCGAAGAAAAAAAAGGTCTTTTGGGCCGGTAAGGAGGCGGAAATAGCCTTCAGTAGATAGATGAGAAAACGAACAACGGCCTGGATCGAAAACCTTCGAGCCGCACACTTAATGGTGTGTGTGATTGACAATGGTAATAGATCCGTTCTTGGGCAAACATTCAATTATAAAAATAAAAACTTTGCTGCTAACTGATTCTTGGAACAAGTTTTACGATCAAGTGGACGAAAAACCTTTCACTCAGCGAAAAACTGTCTTTATGCAGATAAGGCATGCGTAGTCTTTTCAAATGAAAATAACAATAATAAAGACAAGTAATCATTTTCCAGGCTTTTGCTATTATTAGCAAAGTAATATATTGTGAGAGATAATTTAAATGTTGCATTCAGATCTCGTTCTAAGTGACTAAACGCGGCCCAATTTGAAAGGCGTCCTTGCAATTTGACTTATCTTTACTATCTTATAAAATGAGCCTTAATTGAGCACTTAACTGCGAAACATTTTGGCTAGGCAATTTTTTGGTAAAATTATTTCCACATTTTCTTACCGGAACTAACTAGGTACGGGTAACATAAAAATTCTCAGTAAAACTTAGCGCTAAGTGATACATAGATTTTTTTCCTATTTTAGGTGCCCTTCTTCACTTGTTTTGTTAACGTTTAAAGCTCCCACATCCGTTCACATGTAACTTTGATAATTACGTGGATTGTAAAAAAAAAAGCCATGAAAGGATATGTTGTTCAAAATTGGAATACAAACTAGCCTGCGCAGGAAACAAGACCAAAAAATTCATCTACAGAAAACCATTACGATTTTGCACAATTCGAGATGAAGAGGAAGGAACAATTAGTCGAATGCGTATCAGAAGAATAACGGAAAAAATCTATCAAGTCGAGATGCAAGTTTGATTAACACATTCAAAGAGCTTCCTGAACGTTGAACATCGGTTGTAGTGAGTTCGTTCAGTTATATAAGAGCGCGTAAATTAGGACCTAAGTACACCCAACTAGATTTCTGTGCTTTTCAACACGTTAATTATATTAAAAGGTGAAATAAGTCAGAAAAACGCAATAATTATTCATATTTTCTAAAATCGGCAGGCGGCCTTGCGCTTTGGATGTTCAAAGGATACCGAATGTATCCTCATGCATAGCTAACATGTATATGTTTAGATCCATGATGTAAATATAATTTCGGGATGATCGTCGTTCATACTGGTAAAATTGCGAGCGCAACAGCTTATTGTGAACATTTTGACTCATTTGATACCTAGCTGAATTAAATTGGGACGTTTAGAAAAAAAAATACTGAGAAAGCAATCTGTTACCGTATATCACAGTACCGGACATGAGACCCTCAGAGCGCTCGATCGTGACCAAAGAGTTTGGGTCGAAGACAGACGATGAAAACCTTGTTGATTTCAAAAATTAAAAGCACCCTGGAATCGACAACAGATCTTGTGCATCGTGTTGTAGACGATACTTAGAGAAAAAACTATTAATTACAAAATATTTAATGAGAACGGGGAGATGAAAATGTCTTCAAGTAACGCATTAGTTTATCAACGTTTTACTAAGCTAGCGGCGGACATCACAGTGACTTACTTTTCATAGTCTGTCCGACAGTACAGTTTCCTGTCTTTACTGAAGCATGACCGTGAAAGAGTATTCCTACATATACAGCATTGTAAACAGCTTTCATGCCATGGTTCGTCCATCACTTTCATCACAAATCGGTCTTCGATCGGTTCCTGGCAGCCTGTACACACACTCATTCTCCTATTTTGACTTCCATTTTGCCCGCAGCTTGCCTTCCCTGCAAACAGATCACAAACAAACGTTGTCAAATTGAATTCATACCATCACTAAGTCCTTCGTTGCGGATATGAGGAACTAACCAATTATTTTTGGGGGCTTCCGGCAATAACTATCCTCCATAGTCATTGGACTACGCGCGGTGACACTCGTCCACGAGTGTAATACACAAAGATGTGACTCGTCCGAGTCTTTGCTGAGGCCTGTGTCAAACGTATTCGAGATATTTAATTTCCCACGCGCTTGTAGCCTGGCAAGGCTGGGTCAGAAGACTACAGTTGCAAACTGGTCACAATATTTCTGTTTGTGTGATTGTTTCTGTGATACGATTGACTGGTAACCGATTGACTTCTGCTTTTGTAGTTTGCTATCTACGATGGTTAACAGGGGTTCCCTTCATTCCACCTGTTTGACCAGTTGGAACACGGGCATAATTTTCCCCCGACAAGCGACGTTCTTTCTCATCAAGCGCGACGTATATTTCGCGCGCGAATCGGACTTCTGTGGAAAGTTTGGCCGAGATGTCTGGATAGTCGCTTCGATTCAAAGCAGGCGTTTGGTTCATCGATTTGACACCTCAACAACTAAGCTATTGGTAGAAAGGGCGGCGAGGCGCTTTTTTTTATTGTCTTTACCGTAATGACATGTGACAGCTTGATTGATCGTTATGTGACCAACCAAGTCTGAACAATCCGCAGTGTACACGTGCATAAAAAGGCAAGTGGCACTTGTACGATGAAAATTTCAAGTTGAAATCAGTGACTCAGCCCTGGTATCTTTAACAAGTTTCCTCGAGGGATGACAAGTTTCAAGTGAGAAAGTGTAGGTTCCGCTAATCGGGCTTAGAATCGAAGTAATTGGTTTACAAAGGCTTATTATAATACAACCTTCAATTGACGAATGATTGCAGTATGTTTCAGTGCCTCTCGCCTTGTTGGAAAAAAGGTGGTGTCCAATCGAAAATAGACGGGGGAGAGGGTTTTTGACAGAGCCCCTTAGCGTATACTGCACGTGCGTCAAGCGAATTACAACTAAGAACGCCACCTGCGGATATTAGCAATTGTTTCAACATGGAGAGAAAACGAAAAAAATGAAAACGCAAGGAGGACGGTACATAAAACAAGCTGATCACACGCAGAGAGTTTTTTAAGAATTTTCTTCTTTTAATAGCAAGTTCGCTGCTATATAAAGCCCTTTAAACAACAAAGGCAGGTGGAATATTATTGAAATGGCGTAGGAATTGCGTTATTTTATGTCACGGTGGAGGCATATATTGACGGCCTGTTGACAGTTCGAGCTGTCGATCACAAGTGGTTTCGCGACATAAAGGACGCCCTTGAAATTTGATACGTCAATTGCTGCAACCTTGGCGGCTCTGAGACAATAAAAGATCTCATGGGCAATTGGGTTCGCTTTCACGCTATTCTTTCTAAAGCGCGAACAATTGAACCGCACACGGTCTGGTGGAAAGCTTCCACAACTCATATGGAAGGAATGGGTGAAGCTTTAAGTTCACTTTAAGAGTCAATTTAAGAACTACCTCTCAATTGTGGATTGGCTTTTTGAAGCAGTAGCAAAAGCTTAGGATGTAGGCAAGCGCCAGCCTCTATGTAGTTTATTAGACTGCGGTATGACCCTAGAATGATCATTTAACCGTTGAAACCAAGCTTTTGTGTCTTTATGGATCAACTGCTGTCGGTGTCTTTGATTTCGGTTTGTTGTTTTTCGCGTGGCATTTTTCGGTACTTTAAGAAGGTGCTTGAAAGTGTGAAATGTTTTGTTCGTTTTCTACCTAACGAAGTCATCCTTCTTTTTCCTTGTTAACAAACTTTTTTGTTCTTAACGAATCGATTGTTTATGTGAGAATTAAACTAAAAAAATTATCTATGATTGCCAGTTTTTGTTGAGGCTTTTTTTGTTCGCTTGACACGTAAACGCTTGTAAAACTAAAATTATTTCTGTTATATCAATGTTGTTATCTTTAAACAGCAAGTACTTTGTGAATAAGGCATCGGTTTTGATGTTTTGACTCGGACTATAACGGAAACCTCTTAGCTGAGGCACAGTGGTCAAGTGAATGGTTCATAATTAAGTAGCTTCTCGTAATATTCATCGGTGTAATAACAATCGAAGTCTAATACAGTTTAGTTGGATTGGTATTATTGTCAACAACAAGTACGATGCTAAATGTTTTGAATGCGACACCGATCCTCCGCCTCAAGCTCTGTTGCATTCCAATCATAGACGCTGTCTCACTTTGAGTCTTGGACTGAAGAGGTTTGTCGTTAATCAGTATTCACCCCGATTGTTTCCCTTCCGTCGCTGATAACAATTTTATCGACCTCAGTGTTTTGTCGGGATAATGTTGCACTTGTTCAAAGTTTCCGTGATTTTTCCAAAACTAATCATTTCCTCAAGTTGAAGCTCTTTGATGTTAAACGGTGTTGTATACATGTATAGGTCCTTGAGAGAACAAATTATTGCGGTTAAATACACACACTTATACACTCACGCCTTTACTAAAACAACAAGAGGTGTGATACAGGCGGCAAATCTTTCATCTTTGTTTTTTTGAATTGGCTCTCAAGTGATGTGGGTTGTTCGGGGGGTTCTGCTTCTGTTTAATTATATGTTACTTACCACTCTGAATCCACGAATCAACCTTTCCTTTCTAGGCAAAAATACGCCTTCTTTTGAAGCAGTAATATTTCTTGAATAAATAAAATAGCTATTAACCTATTCTAATCGCATTTGTTTGCTCACCGCTTCAGGCGAAATGTGTAAGTGATACCTATGAGCTCTGTCGCGAATATTCGCTTCTCGTGACTTTTCTATATTTTACCTTGTATTGCTGAAAATCGGTTTTTGTGTTGAAGTCAATAGCCCGTCAGAAAGGCATGAAAGACCAGTAGAGACATAATTAGCAACGTGGAAGGATGTACGGCATTGAACGAGTTTTTATTCAAGAAATGAATTGTGTGCCTTCAGGAGATTAACTCCCGCTTGGTGCAAAAAACTGGATCTCTAAAAGAGCACGCCGCTGGCTCCAGTAATAACTACGTTTACAGACGATTTTGGAAAATTAAACGTCTTGCCATGGAAAAAAAAAGTACAGAAGTCTTTCGACCTTAATAACCCGCCGTCCTTAAAGGAACTAATGTGTTGAAGGCTGTTTTCTACGATGTCGGAAGTTTTCCCCGCTCAAAGGGTAATGTTATGCTAAAATCTTTCAAAAGGCTCCTTGCAACTGCAGCTGCCTTCACTAAGGGTGGAAAGTCCGTGACTTTCAAATACAGTAAACACTTGCTCAGTTTTTTTCTTTTTTCAACAAAATTCTACGTACTAGATTAAAACTGTCTCTTTTCGCTCTTTGAGGCGGTTTTACTAGAGTAAGTCGGTTAAAAAATGGCTCTGTGTTGTCTCTACAAATATCAACCTTGCGCATAAACCTATTTAAAACAACTCCTGAAACTTAGTTTCTTTACAATGGTGTACAGTTTGTTCTCAGGAAAATAGAAGTTCTAACGAGATTGTAACCGAAGCGTGTAGTCTCCGCTAATTAAGAGACTTTTGCGGGAGCATTCTGAATGATACTGAATTTCGACGTTTCTTCTGGTCTATACAGTTTTGTTGACATTTCATATATTAGGCGTTCTTATCGAAGCAAGATTCTTTTTCAACCTTTTTCAGTCATGCCAAATTTAAAAATATTTCTTAACCAACCTTGCCGTGAATTGTAACCCCACAAGATTCAAAGACTAACGATACAGTTCCATTCTGTAGAGAAGAATCCACCTAAGATTTTATATTGACCAAATGCTTGAACCTTAAACTTTTCCGCTGAATGAGGTGAGTAAACACACAGAGAGCAATCCGTTTAGTTTTCTCTGAGACTTGTAACATCTGGTTCTTCTTAGGCTCGTGTTTCACATTTAATTCCGTTCTTGTTTCCTCAATAAGCTCGGGAAAATTCGTCTTGTTTCCCTGTGCTGACAGCAGTTTTCATCATAGTTCTGTCCGCAATTTTCAGTGCGATGTGGTTTAGTATATTTGCAAAATTCGCTCGTAAAATTTTAAATCATATAAAATTTTATTCTTCGCGAAGGAGGAAGAATTCAACGAGCGTTCAAATTTAATGATTTTCGTTTAAGCAGTAAAGTCATTTTGGTAGCTTATATAGAAAAGCATGCGGTCAATGTATTTTGACTTTGTCCGAAACGAATCATATGTGTCCAAAATATAAACTCCATCTGCTTCAAAGATCCAATTCGAGCTTTTCTACCCGGTATTGTAGGATCAAATTCAGATATTTTCAAAGATGGCAAAATTCTTGAAACCTTAAACTTAAAGTGAGCCTAAATGCACAGTTAGTCCACATCACAGGTGTTCTAAGGTCAAGTAAAACTAATCTGAGGTTGTGTTCTAATAAAACCCATATGTAGGTATTTTGGTTGCACAGTGATTCTGTATACTATGTTTTGATTCATATAAGCTCCAAAGCTTTTAAATGAATCTGCTTTGGATTTTCTTTCGTATTTCCTCACAAAACTCGAGTTTGAAATGACTCTTACCATGCGCTAAAGTCTTGTGCATGCCTCAAGGCTTGTATTGGTAATATAGGGCTTCTTCCCTTCCTTTCAACACAGTGTATTCTTCGTTACCACAAATATGTCGCTTTGAAAGCCAGCTTTCTTTCAAAATCAAAGGAATCAATTCGCACAATTTCACGTTTCTGTGGGTTCTTTCAACAGCAGCCACAAAGCTAGACGAAAATTTAATAAGTGCTCACCTGAATTCATTTTTCAAATGAATCTGTAGTTATTTGTGGTGTACTTGTACTCATCCATTTATTTACGGATATTGAATGCCGTGAAGACTGAGAAAGCTGGAAAAAGTCCCTTAATACTCTAGAGGATCATATGTTGGCGTAAAAAATAAAGAACCTTTTTTCCTTTGTTTAAATTGAAATTCACTTTTCTCATATCAGTGATATATTTTAATCTAAGCCCCTCGCAGCGTTACTTAGCCCGGCTGTGTCAAAGATAAAAAGTTAAGAATTTCAACGGTCCTTTCGCTCCATCTCACGTCCAATTTTATTCCTTACAAAACATAGAAAACGGTAAAAAAATATTACCAGGTGTATACCTAAAAAACTCCTTAAACTTAAGCCATCTTCTCAAACAGATTTCGCCACAGTTATAAATTGTTTACTTTTTAGTTGCAATCTGCTCGATTGACTCCTCAGAACAGATAACTTTCCTTAAGGATCTCAGATCCTCTGAGAAGCTGCGAGAAAAGTTGTTTAGTGCATTGTATCGATAAAGTTTTTTTATTAAGACAAAGCGAAATTTTTTTGCGAGTTGACAGCTTCGCTCGACGAGTTGTAAATGAATGTAAGCAGGGGGACATCTGCAGATTGCTTCGCAGATTGAAACAAAAACAAAAAAATGGATCGTTCTCTGCGAGGAAATTGTATGTCGGTGTTCCAAATTTCAGTATCTCCTTGATTAAACGTCCTTGGAACAGAGGGTTTCATTTCTGATATTTTTCGGTTTTTATCGTAGATAGGACCGAAGTTGGTGAAGGTTTCTGGCGAACACTAAATAGCCCGGCGAAAGTGGCACAGCAGTTTAGCATTTGTTTTCGGTTTAACGACATAAACTAATTACTTTCTTGTTATGAGGACGTAAGGGGAATAAAGGTTAGGTCGAGCTCTTTATAAATGCACCGGTCTTGGTACAGTTGTGTTGAAGGTGGCAAAACGAACTGATCAACAATGCAAAAAGTGCCTTGAAATCATACTGACAAATTGGACTCATTAAGTTGGCGTGTGATGCCAACTCGGTGACTTTCTCTGTCATATTCAATGGTAAATTTGTCTGCCTCCCAATAGTTGTCATGAGCAATTGTAACAAGAAATATTTTCCTTTTACAACGCAAGTTTACACTTGGTAAAAGAAACCTCCTAACGCCTTCAATTTAGGCATCAGAAAGCAGTTCTGGTCGAATTAAAACGATCTCACACCGATGGGAAACCGGGTGCACCTCGAAGGTTACAGCATCAACAAAACCTCTTAATTCACAAATTATTTAAATGATGATCTTGGTCGCGGTATTCCTTTCGCCGGAATATCGCTGATTTGAGTTGCTCTTGTCACGTAAACTACGAATGGATAATTCTATCCCAAACTCATCTTGGTGCTAAATCATAAACAGCGTAAACACAGAATGAATAACCTCAGTATTACGTTTACAAATGACAACAAGCAGATCAAACCGTACCTAGTACTGGGGAACCCGCATTCATGTTTCGCGCTCGAGGCAGATTTTCCGGAGTGCTAAAAGATTTGTGTACTGAACACAGTTTCTAGTTTTGAGCGTATTGAGTCAATAGACTCACCGGATCTTAGCTTCCAGTTCCCCAAAGCTCAGCCATTCATATCCTTATTATGAGGCGGGCCCAAGATCTGCCAACATCCACAATTGTATTGCTTGAATATTCATCACCTCAATTTGCTTTAGTCTTTGTCGCGTCTCGACACATCGCTATATGTTCCTTGTTGCATGTCTACCTTGACTTATTAAATGCCACTGAGTTATTCAAAATGTAGTACCAAGCACAGCAAGCAGGTCTCGTATCTTGCCCAACTAGTAAATAATTCACAGCAAGCAGTAAATTCGAACATTGCAGGAGCATGCATAACGGTCGCATGTTAATAGATCGTACGGGTGGGTATATTTGAGGAGCTATATGGTGCCAGAGCTAGAGCCAGTGGGAGTAAAAAAATCGACTGTGGATTTGTTGAAACTCGGTATTTTAAATCTGAACCAAGGATAACTCCTGAGATTTTACCAAGCTCTTACTATATTTCATTTTCAGTTCTATCGTTCAGTCGTGTCTCCATGATGCAAGTTTGATACAAGATGCCCGATTTGTGCGTGTTTTTTTTCTTAAATCATTATGCATAAGTTTTATCGCTTTGTGTGTGTTGTAGAGTCAAATTTGAAATCACTGAAATTCCTCCCTCTTCAAAACGGTACTTCTTTCGGCACAGGGAGCGACCATTTTAACCTCTCAGCTCTGTTATCATGTATATCTAATTTGTGTGGAAATTTTGGCGCGCTTTTCCACAAGCCTGAGCAAATGAAGCAAAAATCTGACCCAACACAAATTATACCTCATAAACATCAACCAATGCATATAAATTTCTGTTTTTGAAATAATATATTTTACCAAAAAGTTGCTGATATAATGTATTTCTCATAATGGGTGGAGTCATGATACCAATCAGAAAAATTCATTAAACGAGAAATACGGTTAAAATCGCCCTTGCTTCCAAAAATAAGGTAAAATATTTGTGCGCTAAAGCGTTCACGCGCCGCTCGCCTTAAAACTCGTTTGTTGCTGTAACTTCGAAATTAGCATTAAACACACGCTTTGCTCTGTAAATACGACATGTCAGGCGGCGAACACAAGGTAGCTTTTGACAGGGCGGTCCGCCACGAGTGTGGGCGAAGTTGACAGCCAGTCAAACTTGTCAAACTTTCAAAGAAAACCGAAAAAGCAAACATTGAATGTAAATTTTTCAGTGTGTGAAAAGAACTTTCGGATGTTTGTATTGCTGGATAATCACCACACACCGAGTGACAGCTCAGGCCTTTATATGGATTAAATTATTCGAGCTCTGCAGTTGTACAAAGTAAACAGTACATAAATTGCAAGGAAGCGCCGTGCACTTTTCACAAGCTACCGGAAAGTTTGTTTACGAGCTAGCTATTTTAGGCGCCGCTTATGCGAATATTTTAATAGTTAAGTGGGTCGCTGACACGAGTTGTCAGAACCAGAAGAGATGCCTTAAATAATAATTGACATGCCCCATTTTAATTCTCGTTTAAAATCAAATGCTGTCAATTTTGAGGCTACCAGAAGGTAATTGTAACCCACAAAAAACGCCCAGTTTTTGCATCGTTTCTTCTTTCAAGATCTTTCATTGATTTGCAGCCTGTCAGCAAGATAAACCGCTTACTTCAGTCGTGCGACTAACAATAAACTGAATTAACAATTTCCTTCAAAGATCTAAAGTACCTGAACTATTTCCTCTTCCAAACAGTTGTGTTTGAAAAAAAAGCGTGAAAGTGTGAAAGGTGAATTTGAAGTGACTTTAAAATGAATGCAAAGTTCTGTTGTTGTCGTTACCTTTCTTCTACCGAGAGCATCTTACAATCAACACGCTGAACCATTAAAGTCATCAGCTGAACACGGTGATGAAATTTAGTCAGGTTCATCATTTTCCTACGGAAACAGCCTTTCACACGAAACCGTTACGCGCTAACCAGACAAGACAATTCGCAAACATTGTGAGTTTCCTTTCTTTTCAAAAAGAGTTTTGGTTACCACGTCAAACGCGAGTGACATTCACTTCTAATATTCATTCGACTTATTCAAATTAGTGGAGCAAACATTACTGAGATGAGAAGTAGGCCACTGAAAACATTTCAGCCCGAGTAGTTTTTCGTTCGCTAGTTGAAAGAGCTGTTGATTGCCTTAAGCGAGGAAAACGTCATTGAATTGTTCTCGATACAGGGTTGAACCCCCCTAAAAGTTTTATGGTACACTGAGCATTTAGAAGGCGAGAATCCTTTCCTTAGCAGGTAGGCGGTTTTATTTCAAGAACACGTGTGAATCCGCTCCCAAACTTGATGTTTTCGGAGTCCGAAATCCTCACCCCTTGAAGCAACATAATGCGTATAGAAGGCTTATTGCTAACTTCCCAGTAAAACTATAACATAGAAAACGCGTTGCCTTTTCATTTTCTTCAACGCTATTACTATTACCATAAAAATAATTCCACGGTTTCCAAGCTACATGCTTGTTAAGCTTACCGAAGATTTCTCACTCAGTAATCGAGAACAGCGAGTGTTAAGAAAGCCTATATACATCTAAGAAATTGAGACTTCTTGACGACAATTTCTACATTTCAAACATCTTTTTTCTGTTTCTGAAATTAAGAAACTAGATATCATAAACGCTGAAGGCACTGTTTTCAGTTAACAAAGATGATCCCGCGTAGTTTAGAGTACTGATCATGGCAGGCTAAACCAAATGTGAGTGATACTTGTGATAAATCAGTCTAGCTCAGTGCACTGAGCTAGACTTAACAGTCTGAGCAATTCTAAACTAAGTGGTAAAACACTTCTTTAACTGGCTAGAAGGAATTGGTTGAATGAACACCTACCAGAGGTTTTCAGGATTTCGTAATTCACAAGAGAAGTAAACATCGATGTACTGATATGAAACCGCCATTTCGTATTTTTTCGGTAAGAACTTAAATAGACAGTAGTTGACAGCGATACTTACGATTGACCGAATATCCTTTCATCTGAGCATGTAAGACGAGCAAAAGCTTTTGAAATTCACAGATAAATGGTTGCTTTGGATGACAAATTGGAACCTTGTATTGAGTTTCAACTGAATAAATTTGTGTAATACAAAATACCTTAAAAACCAAGGAAAGTCGTGATCGACTGTTACCAACACAGTCCCCGAAGAGCTTGGTTAGGAATCAATTATTGGTTTCACCATATTTTTGTACTAAGTCATATACCTTCTGAGGGGAAAAAATTTTTCGTTTTAGAAGTTTACTCTTTATTTTTTCGTTTCTTTGATGTACTGGAGAATACCAATTCGTAATAGGCACATTCAACACAAAAATATCTTTCAAAATATTATTCATGCAATGTCAGTAAAATACAGATGTGTCAGTCGAAGACATGTTGTCTTGAGGACAAGTAAACGCTTGTTTTACTCTTGTAATGGCATACAGCGTTCATGTAAAATTTTGTAATTCCTGTGGTAGAGTTTAAGAGGCATGTTTTCGTTTCTATGTAAAGCTTGAAGAGGTCGCTTGGTGAAAGGTTTAGTGAAAACAGTATTGATTCTCGCGACATTAGGCAGATCAGCTCTACAATTTTCGCTGATTTCCAATGAAGGATATACTGTAAATGTGGCTGTAAGGCTTCGTAAAAGTTATTAGATGGAGGCTAATTTCAGTTAGTATTTGAAGACGGTGTGATATCTGAAACCTCATATTTTAACTAAATGGGAAATAGCTACTGATTTCTTCGACTGTTGACTCTGTTCACGATATTACTGAACTACAAGGACAAGCAGTTTTAAAAGATTTTCTTTTCTCGATGATCTGTGATAACTTATTAATATGGCTTGTATAAAACAAAGCCACGAGATCGAAAACTGTACTTTTTAAACGTTCTTTCATCTTCTACTCCCTTCAGTGCTCTATCTATGTACTTCGCTGAATATTTGTAAAAGACATAACATCAATTAGTCTTGGAATGAAAACAGACCACAGACTACAAAAGATATATTTTTACATGGCTTCATTAATTCAACGCGCGTTTAATATTAAAAAAGATCACTCAAATCGTGTGTCGTACACCAGGTGAACATTCAAAAGGTTTTAACGTATGGAATAGGATTCAGTGATGGATTTCCTCGTTGGAAAAGTCGAACTTCGAGTGGAACAGTGACACAATTTTCAACTCATCAACATGCAGTTTGAGATCTCTTACAATTTGGAACAAAGTTGATAAGCAAGACGTGTTTCTAATGTAACAAATCCTAGAGGTGCTGTTGTTCATTGGTGACTGAACTTAATTGGCGGTTGTGGAAACAACAGGCATTTTAACAAGAGAAGTTTCTATTTTCCGGAATACAAGAAAGTGTTGTGTAGTTTTGCATTTCTCTGATAATCTAGTTACCTAGTATAAGGAGTAAGTTGCCACCATTTAAAGCAGAACACAATATGACTGATTTACTTTCAAAGAAAAGTGTGAAAAAAAGAATATTGAAGCACAGGTGTTTGAATGAATTTTAGGTGTGTTTTTATTCCTACCGTTTTAAATCCTTGACTCTTTCTGCACGCGTAGAGAATTATTCTAGGAAAAAAATATTACATTTTCTGAAGTGCTTGTTTTTTTCAACTAAAGACACTTTAGAGTACAACATAAGCTGTTCAACCCGCTTGGTTAGAAAGAAATCTATGTTATTGTCAACCAGCATTTTCGCACCTGAATGCTAATTAATAATGTATTCTTTTTCAAGGCGTCATTTCTTCAAACAAAACTTGTAGGGAGGAAGTTGAACCAGCTTCGCTTCAACGTTCCTTGTAGTTTTAAAATATATCTCATCAGATCTTTTCCCTGGCCAATGTACATATCTGACCAATAATTGCGAAATCAACAGTTTAAATTTCGTCTGAAAATCAGAATTTGTTTTAATCAATAAAAGCTAAAAACTGTCTTACTGGTTACTTGCTTATCATCATTGAAAAATCTAAATCGTAAAAAATCGAAACGTCATTCTGCTTGTTATTGTTTTTGTTTTTCTTAAATAAGGACAAACCAAAGTGACTAGGCTCATCAAACGATGATAATTTATAAACATTCACACACTGCAGTCAGTTTAAATGAAGTATCATATGCTGGAGGTAAGATAAGACGAGAAGTTTCGCTGAAGAGACATTTTCCCCTAAAATGACTTATACTCTTATGGTTAAATTTCCAAATATTAACGATGATAATGCGCTGGTAGTAAAACAAAATAATAATAACAATGATAACAAAAATGATGATGGTTTTTAAAAGTTGTACTGCCGTGTGTCCAGTGCAACTCAAATCCTGACACACAAGTTTTACTTTCTATCCCTGCTTGCAACGTCTAAAATTACCTCGAAGTTACGAGTTGTAGATTGAAGCTCCACGGATAAACTAGGAAGAAAACAAGAGGCTTTTAATTAAGTCTATTCATAGGTACTCTGATTATATTGCATTGAGATGTTCGTCCGAAGCCTCCATTATGTCACAAAGTCACAGCTGAGAAGGACTAAATTGAACAAATAACTCCAGTTCGAGTAACAATTAGGATTTTTTTTCTTTTTTAAAAAGCTACCATGTTAAGACATTTAATCTTGGAATCAGTTGAGAGGGGAAAAGTTCGAAAGTAAAATACAGGGAAGAAGTGTGATCCAATGATATCTGTCGCTATTCATAAACGACTTGTCACCTGAAAAGCAATAGAACATAGCAATTTCAACATTTTGATCAACTCTTCTCTGAGTCGCTTCCTGGCTGCTAATAACATCCACTTCCGTTTTACTAACGAGCAATAACAATCGTTGAAGAACGGTGATGGAAAAAAAACTTGGTATATGTTTTGTAGGTCAACTATTTTGTGGGTAAAGCAACAGCTGGTCGAGAGAAATTTAAAAGCAGAACATTTCAAATTAAATGTGACTCGTGCCAATTCATGTTGAACCAGATATGTCAGTTTAAATGGTAAATTTTTCATACGACAAAAAAAAAAAAAATTCTTTTGTTTCGATAATGGTTGATGAATATTTGTGTCCTTTGTAAGAAAGCCATATTTTAAAGTTTAAATTTTTTGATGCTATCGCCCAAGTCACATTTTTCCCAGAAGAGTTTTGTCTATCTTTCAGTACAAGAGTTCGCCGCCATTTCTCCGTTGAGTAACATCTCTTCGCTATATTCCTTCCAGGTGTCCATGAAACCTGTCGTTCCTGGAGATGTCAGCAGTCATCACTTTCGTTGCAGATGGATAATCGCTAAAATGACAGCCTGAACAACCTTTTTTTTTAGCACTTGTCTGAAGAAATACCCCACATGATTTTTATCACAGGTTTATTTAATTTTCAGGAAATAATTTTCGATATAACGCAACCGCAGAGCCAATATTGCGTTCATATTTGAAAATGAAACCTTTTTCGTGTGGTTCAAATTGTTGCAGAGTAAATTCTCTCTCTGGTTGCACCTGTCTTAGCTTTCAAAGTGACTAGCTCGAGACAAAAGTTTACAAATGATTGCAATACCAGTTAACGAATAAAAATTAACGCATTCTTGTTCCGCCTCTCACCTAATTTCTATGAGGTTTGAGATGAAATTTTTGAACAAAAGTTTTCGTTAAACGTCCATGTTTTTAGTTCATTTATGGCAGCGCGTCTTGAATGCACCGAACTGTAAGAGTGAAAGAAAGAAGACCACTGCTTCCTCTACGAATTAATTATAGCTAAATAATTTCTCTGTGTTTTCAGCTCCATATTTTAAAATTCAAAACGAATAAATTGTACTTTCAGGTTATTTCAAAAGATAAAGTTTCAATTTTCCATTATCTTTAAAATTGCAATCTACCAATAGTTACGAAAAATAGTGGTCTAACACTCAGTTACAGGGTTTTTCGCGGTGCTTTCCTTTTGCAGAGTCCCTTTGCTCTACGAGGGATCTGCAAAGCAATTTCATTTTTTCTCCGAATTACCAAAGCTTTATTTCATACAGTTTGACACAAATTCCCGCAGGTCCAAACTACTGACCACCTGTTCCAAACTGAGCAATCTATCTTTGCAAATTGGTGTGGGAAAACATGAAACAATTTGGAAACTGAAAGATAGAATTTTGATAAATAAATTTCTAGAGAGTTGCCATTCTATTTCGTCGATTGTTTCATGTCTTCTGACATTTTAAACAATGACTCGATAGTAATAGATCCTTTATAGAAAACAAAAGATTTCTGTAAAATATGCGTTCTGAGTCCATTTTGAGTTATAAAAAATCATATAAGTTAGAGATTCTCGCCTAGAGAGCCTAACAGTCATAAGAGGAAAAGCCAGTTCTAAGCTTCTAGAAACAAAGACTTTGTTTAATATTATAACCATTTAATTAACCAATTAGATAATTAAACTAAATGTTTTGTTTTAAGATAATTAATAGAATAGACCTGCATTGTTGTGTCTTAGCAAAACGTTTCGTAACGTTTCTAGTTGTCACTTGTTGCCTTAGTTTGTTTTGGATGTTGCATTTTCTTTCACGTGAATGTCAAATATAAGAATCAATTTCTTCACGTTTTCAAAAAGTTCGGAAGAAAACTCATAAGTGATAAGACAAATAAAAAAATACTGCATCGTTGATAAGAAAATCGGATTATTCTAAGATTTCAATGCTATGAACTTTTTCCTCGCTTGCTTTTGGGTTTCATAAGATAGATTATCAATGTCATTATTATCAAATTCTAATATTATGTCGCTCTTGAAACTTGTCTTGAAAGATTATCAGACAGAGCAGAGATGAAGGTTTGAAGTTCAGTTTTTGTTTACATGTTGCGAAATCCAATTGCGTAATCGCTTACCGGCTTGACCCTCGTGTTTCGGCCTTGCTGAATGATTCGGTCATGCATAAATTATCTTAAAGTTTTTTTTTCCCTCGGTGAATTATGATAACTACATCCTCACGTGTGAATACAATTTTTTTTCGATCAACTCTTCGGAGTAAAATCCATAAAAAACAATGTTCTTCGTGGTAGCTCTGAGATGCTCTTCAGTAAACAACCCAGTTATCGACTCTTAAGTCACCAAACTCAAGAGGCTTCTCAAGTTCAATAACATTTTCAATGGGTCGTTGCAGTGAAAATATCAAAACAATTTTTCGGAGCTTAATAAGAAAATCAGAAGTGAGACAAGGGCCTTTTGGCCAAGGCCGAAAGTCAAAGAAAACAATTGTTTCATCGCTCGTCTTCTTTTGAAGTCATTGTTGCAATTGTTTGCAGCTTTCTATCGCCAGGGGCTCGGAGCGGCATACGAAAGACCCGTGGAAGAATAGAGGAGCGGCACTCACAAAAAAAAGATCTTTAATAATTTTGCGTAATCGAAATGTTTATTCTAAACATGATGGGACGAGATAAACGCAAATTGGACGCAACCCATTCGTAAAATTGCTCGTCTATATTTGAAAACTCTTGATTTTCACCATGAAACAAATTGTTTGTACTATTTTACTTCCGTGTCGGTCACTGCAGACAGAATTAACGTATGTAAATAACCTATTTAAAGCATTTCTCTGTGCGGCGGTTAAATCAAAAGGATTTTATAGTTACTTTTCAAAGTTCTTTATCTTTCTGTTTGACGCTGTTATCGATAAAGTCAAGAAAATAACGAGTTTGTAATGTTCTACTTTACACGATTATCTCGCCCCTGTTTGTTGCTGCAAGCTGGGATAAAGAAAATTGTTTATCTAACCTGGCAACTACACGAGTTTTTGTTTGCGATTCAAATTTAATCAAGTACTTTGATAAAGTGATGAAGAAAAATTACATCGAGTTGTTTTGACGCTGTGATTGCAGTACTAGAGGGCGAATTATTCCCAGCGTATTCAGTGGTCGTAAAGCTAATCTAAAGAAGCCTATTATTCTTGATAACATAATTAAAATTCAGGCCATTGATAAGATTTGTTTATATGTTCCGTTCAAAATAAACCTCCTGTCTGCCTTGTGAATGAGACAGAATGTGCCGACAGTCGGTACGAGATAGCGGCATTCTTTTAAGCTTCAAGTGGGGTCCTTTTAAAGGAGCTCTGTGCTCTCTTTTACTCAAGAGACATTTCCAAGAAACCACCCTGACGACTGACATCGAATAAGGCCGACTCTCGCAAGAAGTCGCAGCTTATTTAGACACGTTTTTCAGCCATGAGGTTAAAGATGACTTTCTGGCTTCGATAATTAGATAATTATAGGTTCGTGTGATCAAAGGATAGCGGCTTGCCTTGTTCTATGGTGTATTATTGTTTTTATTCAATCGTAAGCAGTGACAGGCACCGGTGGGTTTTGTAGTCGCCCACAAAACATGTCGGTATGGGGTCGCTCATTAGGGACCCCTCCGCAGAATGCCAGCTTCTACTCTGAGGGCGTGTTCAAACGATAATTTCATCGACTCTCACATGGAGACAAATTTTGAAATTCTTAGCATCTGATCAAGAAACTCTTGCTGGTTCTTAACTGTTTTGGGCTTATGAATGTGGTTTAATTTGTTAAATGTCACAAACTGCTGTATCCCTGGCTCGTAAGTTTGGTTTATTGATCAAATTATACCTAGTATAGTCTTAAAATAACCGATAGAAGAATATTTTCAGTATTATTCACTTCAACATGTGTCTCGCTATTCTCTTCCTCGCTTTTGAAAGTCAGGAAAAAAACATTTTTTAAAAGTCTTCTATCCAGTGCTAAGAGCTTTGAAGCTGTTAGGTTTAAACTCTGGTAATCAAAAGCCTTATGTCAGAAGTCTCAGTCGTTTCTCCGAGCATTATACTTCAGACACCGAATCACTTCCCTCACTTGAACAGGCTATTTCACCCACATACGTTAATTGAGAGCTACTTCAATGCGACTAAAAAAGCTGGAATAAGCATATATTTGTTTTAGTGCGAGCACTTTTAGATCACTATTTCGTCACCGAGTGTGTTAGAGAGATCAGTGTACCCAAGCAGCTGGCCTTTCAAAAGTTCCTAAGAACTCTAATTTTACCTTCAGATGGTGTTATTAAGTGTCTTTTAAGATCCAAAACAGGAAGGACTTTTCTTTCAATAGAACTCTTAGGAGAGGGATACGAACTTTTAAAACAAATTTTCGAAAAGCTGAAATATACTAAAGTAGACCGCAAACCGTTTATGTTCGGACAGAGCAGGCACGACGTAAACCATTGCAGACTCACGAGCTGTAACTTAAATCAACTTGTACTTGAACCTGATAGAATTAAGTTTTAAGGGCAGTTGAAGTTTATTTCGAATTTGAAGCCGCTGTCGCCGTTATTGTTATGAAAGCAACTCCACAAGGTAATAAAACCTCTATCTTTCGCTTGTGTTCGCCTTTGAGCCCATGCGAAATTCATGCAATGATTGCGTTCCTTGAGGTAAAATGATACTAACATTTGTACTCATTTGATTATATATTTATGAAAGTCTTGTTCAAGTTACCTGCCATATTTCTCTTTGGCAAATTGTTCCAGTCCTGGGTTAATCATCAGCTGCCACGAACAGAAAATCGATTTCCAAAAAAAGTTTAGCTATAGACTAGGCTTGCAGAAATCATGTGATCCAGTTATGAAAATTGAAATAAAGTTATCGTTATCTTTTAAGCTGTTGATGTAGCATGTCTTCATTTAGGAACCAACAATAGGAGATATACTATGCTTCCAAAGAGTATCATGCTTTGGAAAAAAGGAATACTCGAGTCAGACACTATAACACAAAGCCAAAAAAATATTACGGTGTGGAAAATTAATTAGTGAGCTGTTTACAGACACTACGGCACTTTTGTTAAGATTATAAATGTAACGAAAAGAAGCCACGCTTTTTGGTTTCTGTCAGAAGATTGAACAGGGGGAATTGACGCCAAATAAAAAAACAATTATAAACCGGGAAACAAGGAGAATTAAAGCCACAAAGCAAACCAGTAAATTCGCCCTACCTGTAGGTACAGCTGACGAGAACTCATTTGAGCTGTGGAGCACTTTTATTGCAGCAGACATTTGCTGATCTTTACTCCTTGAAGGTTCACTTTTATGACATGAAT